AGAATGGAACCTGGGGAAGTATGTATATGCCAGGAGACATGGAAGGTTGTATATGCCAGAAGATAAAAAAACTTGTTCTTTTTTCTTTTCTTTTTCTTTTTTTTTTTTTGAGACAAAGTCTCAAGCTATCACCCTGGGTAGAATACCGTGGCGTCATAGCTCACAGCAACCTCCGATTTGGGCTCAAGTAATCCTCTTGCCTCAGTTTTTCTATTTTTTTAGTAGAGACAGGATCTCTAGCTCAAGCTGGTCTCTAACTCGTAACCTCAAGCAATCCACCGACCTTGGCCTCCCAGAGTGCTAGGATTACAGACATGAGCCACTGTACCCTAAAACTTGTTCATTTAACTCAGTGATAGGAGGCCCTGAAGAATAACACAGAAAGGATACTTGGTTAGAGGTATCTGTCACTCTGGCAGCAGAGTAAAGGACGGATCTTATGAGATAGAAGACCATTCAAATATTCCAGAAAATAATTAAGAGCCTTGAGCTAGTGAAGTGGCAATAAGGATTTTGAAGTGAGAGAGATTTCCAGACACAATTAGGAGATAAAATTATAGGGCATGGTGATTGTTTAGATTTGAAGAATAAGGAAGAATCCAGGAAGATCCAAATTTCTAAATTACATTCTAATCTTAGATTACTCAAAGGCAAGACTTGAGTGAGCTATTCAGCCTTTCTAGAACAATTTTTCTCAACAAAATTTAAACCATACTTTTATTTATTTATTTATTTTTGGGATAGAGTCGCACTCTGTCACCCTGGGTAGAGTGTCAGTGGCCTCATATCTCATAGCAATCTCAAACTTTGGGCTCAGGCAATTCTCAACCTCCCAAGTAGCTGAGATTGCAGGCACCCACCACAACACATGCCTCATATGTCTTGTTATATACTCAAAGTATCATTCTCTTGATATATCTTGAAATTTCAAAATAAAATATCCTGATTTAAGATAAGGCAAATCCATATCCATTATCAAGTTAATGGTACTTTTTCAAATTACATTCCCACAAATACTAATACATTACCACACTTCAGTTTAAGATTCCCTAACTAGCTAATTTTTAAGCTTTTAATTTTCTTTGTTTTTTTTTTTTTTATTAAATGATAGCTGTGTACATTAATGCAAACATGGGGTACAGTGTAGTGTTTTCATATACAATTTGAAATATTTTCATCAAACTGGTTAACATAGACTTTGTGTCATTTACTTAGTTATTGTGTTAAAACATTTATACTCTAGTTCTAGAAAAATTCACTTGTACCCTTGTTAGACAGACCATATAGGTGATCTTTCCAATCACCCTCCCTCCACCTATCTGCCCTTCTCCCCTCCCATCCCCCACCCCCTCCCCATATTCTTGGGCTAGAATTAGGTTGTAGCTTTCATTTAAGAACTATAAATTAGTTTCATAATAGGGCTGTGTACATTGGATACTTTTTCTTCCATTCTTGTGATACTTTGCTAAGAAGAACATTTTCCAGTTCTATCCATGTAAACATGAAGGAAGTAAAGTCTCCATCTTTCTTTAGGGCTGCATAGTATTCCACAGTGTACATATACCACAGTTTATTGATCCATTCATGGATCGATGGGCACTTGGGCTTCTTCCATGACCTGGCAATTATGAATTGGGCTGCAATAAACATTCTGATACAAATATCTTTATTGTAATGTGATTTTTGATCTTCTGGGTATATACCTAATAAAGGAATTGTAGGATCAAATTCTTTAATGAGAATTATTTTATTTAGAAGTTTACTTTAAATATTAAGTTTTTCTTTATATAATGGGCCCTATGAAATTTGTCATACCATCATGCAATTGTTTTTAAAAAGATCCAGTTAACAAAAAAATACTTTAAATGCAGTCTTTTAGGAACTTAGATAAAGCAAAGTATCCATAAAGTTAAAATGATAATTAGGCCAGGCATGGTAGCTCAGTCCTGTAATCCAAGTACTTTGGGAGGCTGAGGAAGGATAAGCACTTGAGGCCAGATGTTCAAGCCAGCCTTCACAACAGAGCAAGACCCTATCTCTAACAAAAAAAGGGAGCTTTTAAAATTATCCAGGGGTGGTGGCATGTACCTATAAACCCAGTTATTTGGGAGGCTGTGGAAAGCGGATTAATTTAGCGCAGGTATTTTTATAGTAAGCTATGATTGAGCCACTGAACTCCAGCCTGGATTACAGACCAAGACCTTGGCTCTAAAAGTAAATAAATAAAAATAAAGTTAAAATTACATTGAGCCGGGCACAGTGGCTCGTGCCTATAATCCTAGTACTCTGGGAGGCCAAAGTAAGAGTATTGCTTGAGTTTAACAGTTCAAGATCAGCCTGAGCAAGAGTTAAAACCCCATCTCTTCAAAATTTAGCAGAATTATCAGGGTATGGTCACTGATGCATGGTCCCAGATACTCAGGAGGCTGAGCCAGGAAAATTGCTTGAGCCCAGGAGTTTGAGGTTGCTGTGTGCTAGGATGATGCCACTGTACTCTAGCCTGGGGCAACAGAGTAAGACTGTCTCAAAAAAAGAAAGCAATTATAATTATACTAAGCTGGAATTTATGACAATTGTAAGATATCTTTTAAATTTTACAGAGGTCACAAAGTGACATAAAATGGCTTCTAATATATGTATAATATTTTAAAAGTTTCCACTAACGTACTGGCCAAATTAATCATTGAAATTCCATAAAACGTTTTTAGTGTTATTTGGAGCTTTTAGTTTGTATTTCCAGGAGTGTAATATGTAACTTATACAAAACCTTTTTCCTTTTCTCTTTTGTCCTTCATCTTGGCCACCTTAAAGTGGCCGTAAAGGCTACTGTTACATAAGGTACAACTTATAGTCTCAAGGAAAATTGAGGAAAGTGACACAAGTTGGAAATTTTGCTAATTACAATGTTTACCTATAGATGTTAATTTCTCATTTAGAAAAACAATATTGTATTTTGGGAAAAAATATATGTTTGTGATTTAGACAGACCTGGGTTTAAATGTGAACTTCATCATTTACTAATGACCGGATTTGACCAGAATCTCATGTCACAGTTACTACACCTTTGAAATGATAATAATACTACTTACTTTTAGGACTGCAAATGAGTTTTCATGTATGTAATATTTAATATATACTTTTAATGTATGATATAGTATATCTGGTGTAAATTTATTGATTTATAAATGATTATTAAGGCCACGTGCAGTGGCTCACACCTGTAATGCTAGCACTCCAGGAGGCCAAGGCAGGTAGAATACTTAAGCTCATGAGTTCAAGACCAGCCTAAGCCAGAGTGAGACCCCTGTCTCTACGAAAAATACAAAAAAAAAA